CATTAGCACTCATACTCACAAAGATACCCACACCCACACCCACACCCACACCCCTTCGATAAAAGATATCATATTAGTCAAGATTCGTTTTGATTTCATTTCAAATTCATTTATTTTCTTAATCAAATCGTACACAAAATAATCAAGAATAAATATTAGAGAAAAGTTATAGTTCTTCTTGAAAATCAACTTGTTTGTCAAATGGCCATTCGATTGTGTATTCAAATGGAAGTCGACATTCACCTCTAGATGGTAGTACACATTTCCATTCTAAATTATTGGTATCTTTTAATGTTATTATAGTATTATGTAGATTATTGTCTTTTCGTCGTAAATCTGGCTGAATCAAATTGACTTTGATCTTTTCATCAGATGATAATGGAACTTGATCATAAACAAAAACAATCACTTCATTGGTCTTAGTATTCGTAATATGAGTTTCGTGACGAACAGTTTTGAGATGAACTTTGGAAATAATGCCTTGAGTGTCGCTTGTTTTCTTTACTGGTTTATATTCAATTTTGATACTAGAATCAATACCTAGTGGTAGATCAAACGTATCACCTATGCACACATTATCAATTGAGCTATGCGTAACGAAATTGTTGTTCATGAAAATAGATGCAGGACCAGCTAAAAGATATTTGTCAGATGTATTCAAAGTTGATGCTTTCAAATAAGCATGTAATGATAGTTTAGGCACAATTGTATAGCTAAAGGTCGAAACGAGATCGAGCACACCAATTGTCAACTTGTGTGGTTTACCCTTTCACAGACAGAAATGTTAAAATTGACAAAGATTTATTAGATCAGATTGAGACTTACATCGGCATCGATAGTCGATCGACGAGGAATCGTAAAACTAGTGCTGGAAAAACTCATTTCAGCTTTTGATCCTAATACATTAACAACGCTTTGTGACATGTCTTCATCGTCATTATAAGAATGAGCAGAGCTGGTTAGCGATGTTTGCTCACGTACATTCGATAATTTTCTTGATGCCCTATTAAATGATGCACCGATCGTATATATACCATCTGCAGATGATTTCATGAAGCGTTCTGGAACACCATGGTGTTGGCGACAGTTGACTTTAAGTGTGGCCAATTTGGGAGCGGCACCACCTAGAGATGGAGTTGCTGTAGATAATGAGAATTGCGTGTCAGACCAATTCTCTTGACTTTTATTGACCTATATATAACATACAAAATACCAACAATATGAATGTTGTGGTATCTTCACAAAATACATGAAGAGATTTATTTATAATAGGTATGAGTTTTTGGAAAGGTAACCTTCTCATTTTTTGGTTCCTAACATAAAACAATGGATAAAATAATCGAGCAATTTCTTTTTACAACAAAAATTTAAAAAAATACCTGCTCAATAAAATAAACAAAAAAAAAAACATATTGTTTGAAAAATGACTCTTAAACTGAAAAAATTGATTGTCATTATCTGACATGAAGAAAAAAGCCTTTAAATTCGAACATTTTTGCCGATTTATATTATTGATTTGAATTTAATTTCGATCGCTGTCTTTTTAGTGATCTTTTTAACTGAATCACTCACTATAGACTATTATCCAATGGATTTCATCTAAAAATTGGTTACAATCTCTGTAAGTGATACTGAACTAAGCATTTTACGAAAGAGTAGTTTTAGACAAAAGGTCTCGAAATTGAAAAAGTTTTTGCCCGAAACTGTAGAGATATATATAACTCTAATCTAATTAGATTCTAGGTAAGATAAATCAAGAAGAAATAAGAGAATTTTCATTCGATTTCAAGGTATTGTTATACTCATAAATAACTTCAAAACTGTTACCTTTCAAGCTGATAGAGAACAATTAATAAAAATATAAAGATAGATTTGAAAATGACCGAAATTTTACAAAACCATTTGGAAGTTTTAAAGATTTGAAAAAAAATAAGATTCCTGAAAAAATGTTTATATAAATATATAAACCATGGAATAATGATGACAACACAAAAGAGAATATTTTATTCCTTCAAATAAGATCAGAATTCTTTAAATATTTTAAAGATTTCGTGCTCTATGAAAATGATCGAAATTCATTGAATATATAAAATTGTTGAGATTAAGAAAGAAGCATCTATTTTTGTTGTAAAAGCTGATTAATTATATGTCAAACATTTGTAATGAAAAAAATGTAAAAATTTCTGTTAATTCATATTAATCTTGTCAAATAAAACAATACTTACAATGATACCGTAATAAGTAAGTTGAGTTTTTGGTTGCATTCCTTCTCCACTATTAACTCGTATATCATAGCTGGCACTCCATGAACAATTGCTGATTAAATAGGATACTTCCAAGGCAACATCAGTTTTACTGCTAGCTACATGCACAGTAATTGTTACTTCACGCTGTTCTATACGTCGATTAGTCGTTGCTTGTGAACCATGTTCATTTATTTTGGCTGTAAATACATTACATCGACTGTTCAATTCTTTCAATTGTCGTTGTTCTTGAGTTGTTTCTTTATCTATTTTACTGAGCATTTTGTGATAAAAGTTAAGAAATTGTTCCATTGTTTCAAAGTCACTTGTACTCAAAGGTCCTTCTTGATTCATCAGTTTTGATGCTCTTCCATCGAGCCATGTTCGTTGTTTTTTAAGTCGATCAAGTTCTTGAGCATGTTCATAGATATCTGCTTGAATAACATCTAATTGTGTTTGCAATTGATCGAGTGGTGTTGTGTCAGACAATGATATCGATGAATCTTCGTAACGTGTTTGATAGGAGACTTCAAGAATCGTACATGCTTTACCTGTTCCACCGCTAACATGAAATGAAGTTAGATCGGCACTAGGTGATAAACCTTGAAGAACAAGATCATAAGTGCCTTCATTATCAAAATGATGTCGAAGAAGACGTGTTACTTCTGCACGATCATTGTACACAGTTACATACTGAACTGGACATTCTTGCTTGACATTAATATGAACGATTGTGGTGGATGGTGGTGTATTCGTTGTCAATAGTGTCTCTGTCATTTGTTTCTTTTTATAGAGATTCTTGATGCGCTTTACTTCAATGTTTAATTATAAAATAAAAATAGAGAACACGCTCGAAAACGTGGTAGTTATATACGTGTTCGTAGCTGTTGTCGTTGTGGCGTATGAGTTAATGCTGACAAACAGAACGAATCAACATCGAAGGCCACGTATCATATAAGAAAAAAACAGAACGGCAAAATGACATATCGAATGAATCATTAGAAAAAAAAGGAGTGAATGCAAGAATGATTGTTTACCTAAATCTTCTAAATCAAGATACGTATATTCGTAATTTTTTAAGCTATTTCAGTTTTATAGACAAATAAGCAAAGATCTTTTATTATCAAAATGAATTCATCAGTATGAAATATCATTTGAATAATTTGAAAATTTGAAGATAATATCGTGAAATTTCATAGAAAAAATCGAATATGTATTTCGATTGTATCATCAATAATATTTACATTTTTAACGATCCATATCATGTTTAAATATTATTGTTGCTCTTTTTTCGTGTGTGGTCTATGTCTTAGATTTTATTGATAATTATCAAAAAGAAAATATCGACTCAAATTAATAAGATTTCTGTTATCAATTTACCAAAATCAGTGGTAACACGACCAGCAGAGGAGTCGAAGGTTTGAAGGAAAGTAACCCTGCCCTGGTTTGAAAAGCTTCTAATCAACTTTCTGCAATTTTGAGGAAATTTGACCTATTTCTTTCTTCGATTTCGTGAAGAATTTAGGTAATGAGACTATTTAATCTATGACATAGCAATTGAAATTAAGATATGTGTAAGTATGAGTTTGGATGAAGTAAATCTCCAGATCCACATCCAGTTGCCGTAAAGCAAAAGTTGAGATTACAGATTGAATTTGTTTTCTTCTACGAGAGCCAGGTCAGTCTATTTTTCGACTAAAAGACTAAAATTAAATAGAACTAAATACAAAAAAAAACAATTCTTTTTTCGCATTTATTCATATAGTCGGCCTTCTTTTTCATTTCGATATTTTGATATGCATGCCATACATACAATCTGAATATGTGAAGCTATATTATCTTCTTGCTAGATCGAAGTGTCTGTCATGGTCTGTAATTGAAGATCGACAAACTACATTTTAAGGGAGAAATTGCTATGTTCAGACTTTACGATTTCAAATCTATCCAAAACCTGAAACCTCATTCAAGATAAACAATGCTATGGGACAACATTTCACAAGAAAGCGCACAATATTACAAATTGTACACGAGCAACTATATAAATATCACCATATGAGTGAGATTCTAGATTTATTCATAGATCTAACATATGAGTCAAACCTCTAGTCATCGTTTTGATTGACTCTATTTCGAAATCTTGTTGACAAAGATCTTTGCTGTTCGCATTTTTTTTCTTCCGATAATTATCATACAGTTGCATTCACTATGAAGTTTGTTCGATCTTTTGAATGTGAATCTAGTTGAATTGTTTTCGAAAATAATTTGCGAGTGTGGATGAAGATGAGCAGGAACTCACACTCAACTTCTCCATTCAGTCTTCAGTCGAACTGTGTCAACAAAGAAAGAAGTTTCTCAAAAATATAGTTCAATTATTGGATACAAAGGAAAGATAATGATACTTATTGTCAAACTTATTCATGGCAATTGATGAATTTCATTTTTTAAAACAATAAAACTATATAAAACATAATCATACGATTAACAAATATGGAATATCTATCTTGGAAAAAGTTAATCAATATACGAGGTCGATTTATATTCAATGTCCTGTTTGCTTTTTTTTGTACAATTAAATTTTTACGATAAATGAAAGCAACAATAAAAAATAAAAATTCAAAAATTAACTTCATGGTGAGTTATTCTTCAGATTGTGATACACATCGATAATAAACTGATCCTGTTGATGGGATTTTCTTTGGATCTTCATAAATGTAGATCGTATCGTTTGCCACAAATTTATGCTTCTCATCGAATTTAGACAATAGGAAATCATTGATGGTGCCTTTTGTTGGTACATATTCATAAGATGAATATCGGAGAAGAACATAGGTTCTACCAATAATTAGATCACGTACGGTTACGATACCATTCATCTCGGTTGGACTTTGATTGTAAGCAGGATGTAGATTCGGTTCATCCCAAGCCGAAACAGACAGACGTACAGGTAATGTTACATGATCTTCATCTACAATACCTGTTACAGCAATTCCAAAGTCGATCTAGGAATTTATCAGACAATGATGTGTAATATTTTTTTTTGAAGTAGAAAAAATAAGAAAAAAGCAATGTGATCGTAGTATTTTGAACGATAAACATTCCAACAGAGTTTACTCACATCGAATGGTATACATCCACCTTCACCACAATGTTTTCGACATGTTTTTCTTGTTGCTGCTAAATCATTTTTATTCATTGTTCGTTCGATTAGTCTCTGATGATAGAGATTGAAATAGATAAGTACATCATCCGGATCATATTTATTTTCGTCTCTAAATCGAATACCGATTGCTGGCATAATATGATCATAATATTCATCATGCATATAAAGAAGATAGGCAACAAACATTACGGAATATCCTCGTATGATAGATTTCTTTATCCAACAACAATAATCATAAAATTGAGGTTGAGACGAAGTTTTCCAATTCCATTCGTCATAAGTAAAATTAAGAACACTCAAAGTATGAATCGGATTTCGACAATCATCATTAGATAATTTTTGCAGAAGATATTCTCCATTATTGATATCACGAACAAGTTTTTGAGAGATCCAAGCACCGTAGTAAAGACCTAACAATGGTTAATCATTATCATACGAAATTGAGCAAAATCAAAAAGTAATGTTCAAAGATTTGTAGCTGTTCAAAAGAAACTAAATTCGAATACGAATGAAAATACAGTGAATAGTTATATTTTTTTTTACAAAATTCTTTCAGATGATAAAATTAATTTGAAAGGATATAAAAAATGAGCATTACTTGATAACTAACTACTTAATTACTTAGTATCGTAAAGAATGATCATAAACATACCGAAAGCTTGTATTGCCGTTTCACCACAGTAACCGTTGTTGTTTTCCCATTGTAATCGAGTAGGAATATCGAGTAGAATTGTACGTTGGATGAATATTTCAGACTTTTTGTCTTCTTCAACTGTATTCATTACAAGTTGGCGTTGAAACAAACTATCGAAGATTGTATATGACAATTAGATAAGTGAAGCCATATGCATTGCATAAGAAAAAGATAAAGTGTTGTAATTGCACCATAAGCATTGCATACGAAAAAGATAACGTGTTGTAATTGCACCATATGCCATTAGCACTTCTCCATCTATGGAAATGCCTCCAGAGAGAAGCCTGTAAAATGTTCCTTGTTCCATATCGCAACATAGATATAAAAGATTAGTTATGCGGACAAAGTTTGTTTTTTTTATTCTTGAGTAATTGAATTCAACTTTCAAATTTGATTTGTGTGACAGATTTGGACGTGTTGGGCGGGATGTACAGAAAGGAAAATATCATAACTAAATGTTTCTTTATTGACATAATGAATTTTCAAGTGAACTTCATCTTTGTGAGATGTCGTTCATATGTGACTGTTTTTCAAATGTTTAATATCTGAAGAGAGGAAAATTCTTTTTAGCTAAAACTTTTATGATATTCTAAAAGGTCATTAAGTCTATCTATGTGCAAAATTTCAAGTCGAAATTCTTTAATCTGATTCTTCGGTTACTATCCAGGAATGAGTCGAAAAGCTTGTTAGCGCAACTCCTTCAAGACTGAAATATGGAACTCACATATCTTTTTTAGCCTGACTAAACTAATACACAATATTCTTTTTTTTTACCAGCGCTCTTTTTTGTTGTTTGCATTGTTGCTATTCGATTTTTAACTTTCAGTGTCACATTTCAATTTTCTTAACTCATTCACCACGATGGGTCTCACCGGTGGGACCCGCTTATACACAGTTGAATATCTTCACTTCAGTTTATTGATATGAAATCGTTTCTTTTGTCAAACATGGAGAAATGTTCGACGTTTTTATTCATAAGAGAATAATCGGTAAAGATTACGTTAATATGTACTAAGTGACTTCAACAAATAGTGTGACATTGTTAGATTCTCAGAAAAATATACTTGACTCACAGTTTCTATCAGTTACTGTGAATAAGTAAAGCTGTGCAAACCCAGTCGGTTTCAACAAATTCGGCTGATTTTTTTCAGAATATTGAAAGACACATAAATTTTCATTGGTTTTAAATCAAACTAAATCTCTTACGATTGGAAGTTGTGAGGTGCATACATTATTATTTTCACACCTTGTTGTTCATCTTTTTGTTCTTATTGAAGCGACTTAGCATACCTTAACGCAGCATTCATCGATTATTCTCTTATTAATAAAAATGTTGAATATTTCTCTATGTTTGACAAAAGAAATGATGTCATATCAATAAACTAAAATGAAGATATTCAACTATGTATAAGCGGGTCCCACTGGTGGGACTCATCGTGGCGAATGGGTTAAAATGTGTGTTATGCTATTTGATATCGAACATAGAAAAGAACGAAAAAAAAATTATTCAATCTAGCGCTAAAGGAGCACTACACGTGCAGGAAAAAAGAACAGAATAAAAAGAAAAAGAAAAAAAAACAATAACAAAATATAAAAAAAGAAGCATGATTTATTGTGCAGCGCATTTATAATTTTTATTTCATTATTCAAATATCATATTTCAAAATATTGAGAGGTTTAATTCAAAGCTAAATAACTTTAGATATGTTAAAGAATTGCATTTCATACCCATTGGTCATGAATATAATGTATCTTTTGAAGATCGATGCGATTGGACTTGGAGTAGCTTGAGGCGTATTTTGCTAATACTCGTCATTCGCAGTTTGGATAATAATCTTTGGATGATTTTCTTGATTACTTGTATAGATTTTCATAGAATTTCCCTATATACTTGTGTTGATTTAGATCCGTTATAAAATGAAA